CTTGGGTCTTGAGTGTATCCAGTCTGACTTTTTTTCAGATCAGTGATGTAGGGAAGAGGTTTTACAGTCCAGGTGCTGCCTGCTGTTACTAACACCTCGATATCAACACTGTATTATTTCCAGCCTGGGTGAAACTCTGGATGATATACTCTTATGTACTATCGTTTAAACATCTATCATCTAAATTATGATAATTATGATAATACCTTTACTTTAGCAGTTTTTGAAAGTTAATTTTATTTCTTTGTTTTCATGACTAACACGATCCACCTGATACTAACCTATGAATCCCCACAGGGGGCATACAGGACGATAGAAGTTCCTTCCAGGAAATCTGAGGGACGAATAACAAAAAATATGGAAAAGAAAACAGAAATTTACACAGTTAGTTTTTTCTTTACAGACATCATAACCTCGAGCACCACAGACAGATTCCTCCTACATTGTGGGGACTGAAAGCAAACAAAATTATTCATTTATATTTAATTTCTTTATATTTCTTCCACCTTGCGACCCTTGCATTTGTAGGTTGTAGGGTTTGTGTATGTATTTCTCTTCACTTTCCTCCTTTCTCTGTCTCTCGTTTGCAAATGTTAACCTGTACCTGTGCACCCAGCAGCTCCCCCTCACACACCACACAATCGTGTTTATTTCGTTTAGTGTTTACAGCAGTATGGTTTTCTCTTTTTTCTATGTGTAAGTTCAGTAACGAAAATCTGTATTCACTCATTTGCCTGCTTTCCAGTGTGTTAAGGTCTAAATCAATGACTTGCCAGCCTTCTGCAAGCCAGTCAGTCTCTGCTATGCTCTTTTTTCATTTGTGGCTTTCAGACTCACCAGCCTCCCAAGCCTCATCCTAACCTCCATCTTCATCTTCACCACCACCAACACCTGAACTCTGGGAGATACTGCTCCACCGCTGTGATGCTTCATCTAATTCTCATCACTGCATAGATTTTATTTAAACTCTCTGTCTGAACAAATCATGTTCATGTTCTCCAAATTATATATATATATATATA